CGGATCCGGCTCCCTCTCCGGGGTTTTGCCCTTTCCTGCCACCGGGGCTGCGGAGCGCCGTCCTGCGCCGCCGCTGCCGCCCGTTTCCCCCCCGCCCTCGCCGGCCGGGCAGGTCGGTGCCCGCTGCGGCGCCCGCAGCCCCCGCCGCCGGAGCCCGCCGCAGCCCCGCACGGCTGCATGCCCGCCGCGGTCTCAGCACGTCTGGATTCGCTGGAGTCCTGGGCCTTCCATGCGCTGCTGGTGCTGCCCTATATGTTTTATTTGGGCTTGTTCTTTGTCAACGTGCTGATCCTGTACTATGCCTTCCTGATGGAGTACATCGTTCTCAATGTAGGCATCGTCTTCCTGCCGGAGGATATGGACCAGGCTCTGGTGGATCTAGGGGTGCTCTCCGACCCTGGCTCCGTGCTCTACGAGACGGACAGCGAGCTGGATGTCTTTGACGGGTACTTGGAGTGACGCCCCGGGGCGCTCCGAAGCGACTGCGGGCTGGGGCCGGCTGTCCCGGTATGGCCGTAGCTCGGCGGCCGCCGCGGCCCCGCCATGCCCTCGCTGCCTCTCGGCTCCTTCTGCGCAGCATCTTCCCTTCCAAATGTCCCCCTACACCCCCCCCGCCCCGGTGCCCGGGACGCGCTGCCGCCGGGCAAGGCCGCGGACACGCAGAGGGCTCGCAAGGGAAGTAAGTCATTTCCTCGGGTTCCTCCGGGGCAGCGGGACGCTCCCGGTGCCAGCCCGAGGGGGCGGCGGCGGGGCCGGGGGCAGCCCTCCCCGGGAGAGCGGGGGGACCGGGAGCGGACATTGCCCCGGGGCTCGCAGGGGCGAACCTTGCAGGCGGAGGGCCGGAACCGGGGCCGGGCTGCCCGCGGGGCGCTGAGCCCTGCCCGCTCCCCCCGGCGCTCCCTCCCGCCCGGCAGAGCCCCGGGGCCGGGGGGGACCCGCTGCGCCCCCGCTGCTGCGCGGGGGAGAACGCCTTTCCCTCAGGACGGGTTGTCACAGCCGTGAGGCGCTGCAGCCGGTCAACAACTTGGCTAACCCGGTCTTGAAAGCAGCTCTGACTCCAGGGTAGTATTTGTTAAAATTCAGAGATCAGACTCGAGCCAGAAATACATCTTAATCAGATGCCCTTTAAAACATCTATCTTGGATAATTAGAAAGTACTCAGCTCACCGTTTTTCTCGTGTTAATCGTAGCACGAGGGTTTGCTTGATCCATTTATTGTTGTCGTTTTGAGTGATACTAAAACTCTGAAATGTAAGGATTTAGCATTTTAAAACACTGAAATGCAACGGGGAAGAAAATAACTATTTCTAGCTAGGACTTTCTGTGCCAAGTCTATGTTAATGAAAACATTCACAGTTTAAATTAAAATGTGTTAGCAAATCTGCCAGTAGAACTTTTTAGCAAAATATTGTCTGTAAATTTAAAAACCCGTTCAGGATACTTTTCTATTTTCTATTGAAATTATGGAAATAGAAAATTCTGTTTTAAGGGTACAAACATAACCTTGGAGAGCACACTACACAAATGCCATTTAACATGAACCTATTTTAATCAGTCTTCTAATTTAAAAACAAAAACCCCAACCTTTCCTGTGGTGCTGTCCTTCATACAGGTTAAAACTATCTCCTAAATATTTCTATTAATATTCCATATAAAGCAATAGTAGCTGATTTTGGTCAATAATTTAGAAGGAAAACATGGGATTTTTTTGTGTTGGAGTAACATGGATTGCATAAACAATCCTGAACAAAGCTTGGTCAAAGGCACATAGAAGCATGACAAGTGTGTGTAGGGGAGAACAGATCTTTGCTGCTACTGAAGAGATTCCACTGCATATAGTTACTGCAAAAAATAATAGTGTCCATGCCAACATTTGGTAGTTTATCCCAAGCAGCTGGATTAGAACCACTTCTGGTAGAACAGAAGGTCTGGAGAAGAACTGAACTCTGCACAAAACGCTGTTGGCTACTTTTGTGGTTGTCTCCTCCTCTCCCTTTTCAGCTGGGCAAGTAACACCCATGCTCTGTATTCCAGGAGAGAAATTCATAAAAACTAATAGAAATTTTAGCAAAATTGTTGGTGCGAAAAGCCCTAGCCATTTTCTTCCCCAAAATACCCTTCCATCTCCAGATTTTATTACTCCAAGACCATCTAGTACAGGGATTACAAATATTTTTTTAATTGCTTTTTTGCTGACTAGGATTTGTCATGATGAGCTGCATCTAGTTTTCAGGAAGACTTAAGAAGAACAACAGAAATATTTTTCCTCAGTGGATTTTTCCTACTATATGAACACATAGTTTGATAGAGCATAAGGTCTGAGCACAATTCTGTTCAGTATAGGTAAATGGTCTTCTTAAAATTTTCCTTCATATTAATAGGACAAGCAGCTTTGCAAACTTCTTGATAGTCTAACTAGAAAACCATGTCACCTCCATATGTAGAAATGCAGAGGTCTTCACAAAGCTCAGAAGTCTCAGTCTCTGTCTGCCTTGAGCTAATGGAGCTTTGCACAAGTATGAGCTCCAGCCTTGATCCTTTAATTTGGAAGTTGTCATGTTAGATGGTGGTTTCACTGAGAACCAAATCACAAATCCCTGAAGTTAGATCGATTATAAAAAATACACTATTAGTGTGCTTCTTCTATTTATATATTTAATTATATATGCAGCAACCAGGCCACAAATTGCATAATTATTTAGCTACCAGGCAGAGACGTGGCGTGTCACCATGAAAAGGACTTTGTCTTAATATCCTGGTTGCAGGTTTCTTCACTGTTCCTTGCTATTCCTCCTCACGTGTTCCCTAGGAAGGCAGGCAGAAGAGGACCCTAATGTGGAGCTGTGGTTTCAACTCTGGGAGCAGAAGGCAGGCTCTGAAAGGGAAGATGTGCATCCCCTCGGTGCCCAGCCCGCGGTGAGCTGGGTTCTGCAGGAGTGTTAACCTGTGCTCCCCGCAGGCCTGGGAAAGCTGCCCACCTGCCCCCTTCTTAGACCCAGGGGTGCTGAGGATTCACAGGACACTGCGGGAAGAATGGTTCTCAGTTTTACCCGCAGAGGTGAAAAATACATGTAACGCAAAGAGTATGCCTATGTAAGAGGAGTGTTCTTTATGTGACTCACCGGTGATTGCTGAGAACTAAAAAGCTATGATTAGCCTTAGCTGAAACCTTGCAGGCGCTCCTTCCATTTAAAAAGTGATGCCTTGCACCCAAGAGGTGAGTGGCATGCATGACAGGGAAACAAAGGGGGGAAATCCCAAGAGGCGATTCTGCAAAATGTGGAAAGGCTAATTTAGATCTAAAAATAAAAGTGTGTGGATCAGAAAAGCTCTTTTCTCTCTTGTAGCAAACCCCTCACTTGAATAAACTCAATTATGTCCAGGTTTCTGAGCATAATTGGTGGCAGAGATTGAAGGTAGACAACTAAGCAGCTCAGAGAAGCTTCTTATCCTATTCAAATGCAGAAATCCATCTCTGTAAACTGAGCAGAACTGAGCTTGCTCATGTCATCTACTGTTTTAGTGTGAGTGTGCCAGATTCTTTATTATATTTGAAGTGACCTGAAATAAGGTGATAGGACTGTTCTCCTTGTACTTTCTTAAAATCAGATGTGACTCATCATGAAGTACTCTAATCAGAAAGTAAATGAGCAAAAGTAATCAATAATGAAAACTGAATAGGAATTACTGGATTTATTTCATCCTACAGTACAAACATTACCTATAGTTTTTCATCAAGGTGAATTATGATGAACATCTTCAGTGAGCAGAATCTAGCGCTCGAAAACCTGTGACTCAGCACTTCTGCTGCATGCCAGCATCTAGACCCCGAATCAAAGAAATAGCTTTACTCACCAGCTCATCAATATACTGCCAATTAGAGATGCAGGCTCAGTGTCTATGAGAGACAGCATTGCCCAGAGGAGAGGGAAATAAGCATGCTGGACTCCTTCCTGTGTCTGCCACTGATGTCTTCTGAGACCTTAACTCACTTGTGCCTCTGTTCCAGCTCTCTAAAGCAGAAATGCCACGTAAGGGAACAGATCAGGACAATGTTACCACTAACAGTGCTAAGACACATGTAAATGCACCAGGACCCACATTCCAACTTTCTCCTTTTCAGACTTTGAATCTTAAAAATAATGAGCACAGTGATCTGTTACTTACTTTACCTTGCTTTTTTGCACTATGCTCTTCCCTTATTTGTAGAAATCTCCATGTAAAGAAAAAAGAGAGGTGGCTTGTTGACTCCATGATACAAATCAGTTGGCTATTTTATATGAGTTACAGTAACAACAGGATTAAGAGCAATAGCTGTGATTTTCAGACCTGTGTTTTGAATTCTTAGATGTTATTAAAATTAATAGAAGTTGAGTGCTCACTCACCTGATAGCTCTGCTTTAAAGAGACTTTTGTACTCTGACTCTTCTTAACAGGAATTCCATCCTAGATGGAAGGAAGACAAAATTGTGGTTAACTGATGAACTGTCCATTCAGATGCATTAACCACAGCCATGGACAGTCCTAAGTGATTTTCTACCAAGTGCATTCATTTATATAATGCAAAGAGAAGAGACAGATTTTCCAAAAGCGGCTGTTAATAACATGAATTAAAATCAGGCATACAAAATTAAGAGACATTCAATTTAGGATAGAAACAGTTCAGGCCTGAGTATTTCATGTGTTAAAAGGCCTAGCCACAAGTGATTTTAAAGAATAATTTTAAAAAAAATTAAAAAAAAATATTCTATGGTTCTTCCTTACAAAAATGAAGCTTTCTGTAATCAACTTGCTTCAATAGGTGGCCAATTATCAGTTTTAAGCTGTCAAAGGAATTAAGAAATTAATCCCATTCAATTCTTCATGTTTGTTTTCTCTGGAGGAGGGGCAGAGTGACACTGTATTTCAGCTAGCGACTAGCAATCCTAAAATAGAACAAAAGAATAATTTATTTAGAGACATTTAGTTTGTATATTTGGCCAGTCCAACTCTTTGCATTTGTCCCCTCATAATGATTCTAATTTATATGGATTACAACTGTCCAAAAAAAATAAACAGTATACTTAAGTGGCTAAATTTTTCAATTTCTTTGGGGAAACTTTCAAACTTACTTTCTTTTCCCAGTTGAGTTTTAGTAGTTTGGCCACAAACTTGGGAAAAAAATAGCTGAATAGTTTGAATGATGCTCTCTGAGGACATGTTTCTAATATACGTGATAAAAAGAGTAAAGACTAATAGCAGCCATATATGGAAAGTAATGGTATAATGGAAAATGATGACGTGCACATCTATTGCTGGGTAAAGCTCTAGTTCAGTTAATAGACTTAAGGCTATACACTCTTTGAAGGGCCAGAACAAAAGAGCTGAGGCTTCCTTAGACAGCGGAGCCCAAATAGGCCATGAGATCTCAAACACACCCACAGAAAGTCAGGAAACAGAATGCAGTCAATGTCAGGATGCAAAACAGTTGCCATGTTTCCTTTGGCTCAGCCTGGATTGTGAAGAACAACAACTTCACAGACAGAATTAACAAAAATATCATGACTGAATTTCTCCTTCTAATGCTAGAGTTACGCTATAGTAGCCACACTGTTAAATTCTTACGGGTATCTTTTAGGCTATTGGAAGACTACAGTTCTGAGAATTTAAAAATATTTGCTACCTTTTCATTTTCCATTGTTTTTTTTAAATTTTCTATTAAAAATTAGGTTCATGTGAATTTTGAAGGACAGACTTCTAATCAGCTGAATGGAAAGGCAAGATTGAATACCCTGGTCAATTGTATCAGTCACACCCCATTTAATATCTGCCACTACAAATTACAGTCTCGGACTAGCAGCCCTACAGCAGTATTTGAAACTTCCATTAGACAGCTTTACACTGTGCTTTGGAGGCCCAATATATTTTGCTGTGCTATTTTTAAGTCAGCCTAGAATTTGATCCACAACGCCGAATACTAACCATCTCCCCGAACTGCCTGTCGTAGATCAGAGTTTTTAGTTCAACTTGGAAAGCAATCAGATAAACATCAAATGAGTAACTCGTTAGAGCTGCTGTTTCCCCTTTTCTTGTTCTTAGTTTAAGCAGGATTTTGAGCATGTGATTCCTGTTACCAGGGTGCTGGAGCTGATAGACATTTCACAGAAATACCTCACTGGACACGCAAGTGCTTCTTGTTTCTGCCCTAGCATCTCGAGCACGTGCCCCACAAGGACATACAGAATGTCATGATGCCTCAGACCACGCTCACCCAGGCCTGTGTTCTGCCTCTGACAAGGGCAGGGGACACCCTCTGGGAGAGCAGATGACCCTGACCAAAATCTGCAGTCTGTTCTCTTCAGACTTTTCAGAATCCACAATGGCAGAACGGGGATGTTAGAGGGCACATTGCTGCCCAGCCTTTTAGCAAATGTTTTCCAAACCCACCACCTTTTGCCCAGCCAATGTTATGAAATCCCCCTGGAGTTCCTTGCGATCAGTACAGCATCTGAACACCCCACAGAGCTTAGTTTCTGAAGTCTTGAAGATTTCTCTGTCCACTCTCTGCTGGGTCACTAATGGTGATGTTGAGTCAAGACTGGTCCCTGGTATACCCTGCTACTGGCTTCTTTCCTACCAAGCCTTATTCTTTGCTTCCAATCTTTTAATCTGTTTTCAGTCCATAGAAGAACCTTTCTTCCAGAACTGTGTCAACCTCTTTGCTTTACAGCTTCCTGTAACGCCTTCGTTAATGACACCATATTCCTCAGCCAGTCCATGCTCATGCAGAACATGTGACATCGCGTTTCATTTTTCAGACTCCTTGCAGATTCTGTTACATCTTCTGCACCTGAAATGGTGGCAGCTCTCCTGGAGCTTGGACCCCTTGTGCCAGACAACCTGACACACGACCTGCTTCACCTTTGCTCCCAGCACAGACCAGTAAGAACAGGGGAGAGGCTGTGTTTTGTCCCACAGCCCAGTGAGAGCCTTTACATGGAGCTCCACGCTTAAAGCAGATCTGTTCCTCCCCATTTTACAGTTGGATTAGCACCTTTACTCTATAGGATCCCCCACCTTTCCACACTGCACAGAAGACCTATAATAGATAGAAAAGGGGAAGGAGGAAGAGCTATCCTTCCAGAGACTCTGATGTTACTCCTCTACGCAGCGCAGATGATCTGAGCTGCAGGCAGCCAGGGGACCTGCTCATGGTCTTCTGGACCCCAGCTCTTCTTCAACACAGATTCATCCCCAGACAATCACTGCCTCTCGGAGCTTCCCCATTCTGCACTATCAATTAATCATCTGTGAGACCAGTGCTCAGCACCTTCGTAGTCCACAGCTTTGGTTCTACTTAGAGAAGGTTTCTCAGGCCTTGCATTTAACTCTAATGATAGTAAAAAATCACTTTTTAGTAGCTGTTGGACACCTTGACCCAGTCACGGCAAATTAGATAAACTGAGATAAAGCAATATAACAGTAATTTATTCTTGTCAATAAGACCAAGAAGTTACCCCAACATGTTATTTAACTCTGTTACTACTTACCAGTGGATCCAAAACGTTTTGAATGAAGTGACTCTAAAGAAGAAAAAAAAAAGTGATCCAAATCAGAGACTACATCAAATGTAGGCAATACATAATTAACACAATTATCTAAAAAATATCAACAGTCTAATGATTGGTATCTGGTTAAGAGAATGTTGCCAGTTCATGAACCAGTTTTAATAGGTAGGTCTAATGATAAAAAACCTAGCATAAAATAGGCTGTCCCACTGTGTCACAGCTGGTTGTACTCCCTTAGAGCAACCTCTGCTAACTGACCTGATGGACTGTGGCTGACAGCTTCTTCTCATGCCCCTCACACTATCTTCATACTCTGTTAGAATTACACTACAGACTAGTGTGCTCTGACATTAACAGTAACTGTTACACTGATTTCTCTGAAGGGTTGTTCAGGCCTTTACTTCTCAAAGAATTATTATCCATAGTCACAAAAGGTTTTGATATTATTTTTTTGTTGTTTTAAAGAAGTCAATGACAGTGCTATTTCTAACACACAGTGACTTCTCTCTTCATGTTAAGTCTAGAGTGTTACTCTGTATTTATGTGTTTTCTTTTAAACAGATTCATTAAACAGCTGAAATGGATTATGACCAGGTTAATGGATCAAGTGATGGAAAGAAACTATACTCTGAAATGCAGAGATGAAAAGAAAGACAAGGGGACAACAAGAAGAGTTGTCATCAGACCTTGTCAGCTGTGACTTTTCTCCATGGTCATTGCCTCTTGAGTGTGCACTAACTGCAGTGATTCATGCACCGTACTGGGCTTCCATAGGTTATTCTGGGATGGACTGTATGAACAAATAATATAAGCTATGTTCTATTATAACAGAAAATCAGGTGTTACTCAGATTTGATAAACTTTTGAATAAATAACATGTCACCCAAATGGACACGCTCTACATACTGCTTAAGCAAGTTTTACAATCACACATTGAAAACTCTACCAGCCAGTAGTTCAAAGACAGTGCTCTCTCAGGGGAAAATATGCAGGAGTGACTGCAAGCAGGTTCTGTTCAGGGCAGTTTACGGAAAGAACTGTGCTAGTAAGATATTTTATTTAAATTGTGAGTTTTGAAATAGATAAGAGAGTAAATTTTATATAAGTCAGGTGGATTCATTATTTAACACAAGATACTTTGCAGATTGTTTAAGCTCATGTTCTTATGTACAGATGTGAAAGCAATGCAATAAAGACTTGACCTTTTCCATGAAAAAGTAAGCAGTCATTTGTTGGAGTTGCTCTTTTTTAATTTGAACAGAAAATAATTGAAATACGCTTTCTAGGAAAATCCAGTTTTCCTACAGGCTCCAGATTGTTGAGGTGGCCAGCATGGAGGAAATCCTCATGAACAACTGCTTAAAAAATCAGACCTGAAACACCACAAACCACACAATGGCCAGCATGGAGGAAATCAGACCTGAAACACCACAAACCACACACTGGTGGGGTGGGAAAACCCACATGTAATTGAGGGCAGGGATTGTACTCATTTTGTCTTACTGTATTTTTTAGAAAAGTCTAATTTTCATAACTGTGCAGGTTTTAAGCCAAGTTGATGCATCAAGAATGTTTCAGATAAAGCAGGAATGAAAACATTTCTCCTGCACTCTCTCCATACATATGTCTGTCCTCTGCAGCCTGTGTCTCTACCATCTGCTCCCAGCTCGGGCTTTCGAATCCAGACAGATGGTGTCATGAGTCTCTTGACAGCCAGTATGAGGCAATAAGAGGGTGACAGTTTAGATGCCCCATGAAACAATGATAAAGAAACTTATCTATCAAACTGCTTTTTTTTCTGGTACTCTCAGCGTGTTGCACTCAAATGTCTTTTTTTTTTAAACTCTTAATGTGGTAGAAATGAGCTCCCAGTCCCAAAACTCTGTTCCGCAAATGCAAGAGCTGTCATCGAGCTAAGTACCTTTTCTCCAAGACAGGTTCCATCAGATAAAATATGGGACCTTAAAACCATGGGCAAGTGCTTTGTTCCATACAATCCCTGGCCTGCAATTCAGGGACAAAGTCACTTAGGTCACAATATTCTAACATGTAAAGATACATTTAGGTAACTAAATCCCCATTTAGGCACCTATATAAAGAAAGCTAAGTTTAAAGACTTGTTAAGCTTGTGTTCACATACCCATTTGGTACTAACAGAAGAAAGGCTGAATTTTGCTTCTGAAGGCAGTGTTCCTGCCGCCTATATAATTAGAAAATCATACTGTTCACAGTGTCAGCTTACACTAATTTTTCAGGGTCACATGTATGCCATTTTAAGAACATGGTTCCGTTTGTCATTATAGGTACTTACTGCGGTATCTATTAGTTTGTCATCATTTCCCTGCAGTTTATCCCACACGATGCACATATCAAGCAATACAAATTCCACCAAGTAATTCACTGTGGAGATTCTCAATCTTAGATCAAGATTTCTAATTTCTCAGAACAGCTCAGCCTCATACATTTAAAGGATGGGGAGAGCACTCAGATTACAGGATCCGACTACCATCATAAGACAAGGCCTCTTTGACAACAAAAAGAGCATGGGCATAAAGAGAGTACCATTTTTCTCATCTGAAAAGATTTTTTAGAACACAGATTTGCTTAGAACAGCTTTTTCAGGGTAGTCAGTGAATTCAGTCCTCTATACACAAGGCATTCCTTTGACAAAAGCATCTTGGATGAGTTTTGTGCCACAAGAATATCCAGACTTTGAACCTTGATTATTTTTAGAACTTTTAACTGCAAAGTCTGAAAGGATGAAAACATCTTTTTGCTCTTCCTAGTAGCTGACTTCAGTCAGTGCTTCTATATCTTCTAACTCTGGACTTACAGTCTGTCAGTTGGCATCGCAAGATCCATTGCTTGTTAAGAAAGAATTATTTCTCCATTTCCAGACCAATGAACTGGTAAGTGCCAGCAGGACCAACCTGTCTCCCTCGCACACCGTGCTTCCCGTTAACCTACAATACAAAGCCCTTAGCACATCGTTATGTTCAGAGCCAGCAGTGGTTTCATTCCATTTCCAGGAGAAAAATCAAAATAATTTTCAACAGGTAGTACAAGCTACTGTAAAAACGAATACTCACTTTTATTAATACTTTAAAAAAGATGTATAAAGACAACCAAAATATTATATCACAATTTACAACCTGTACATTATAAACATATATCTTCCACTAACTCATAGAAACAAAACAGCAGTATTCCCAACATGATTTTATCAGTCAAGACAGGGCCCTGTAACATCCAGCTGCCTGTGTAATATTTAGCACGTTCTCAGATTTGGTCACAGTGAAGTGTGGCTGCAGAATATATCCCTAAAGGGGCATTTGTCATCCAAAGCTTAGTTCAGAGAAGCCAAGACAAGGGGTCACCATAGGTCCACATGGCTGGAGTGCCGCAGGCTGATGGGAACATAACACAAGATTTGGCTCAAACTACCTCCTATTCAAGCAGCTGAAAGAGGGGGATGTAAATCAGTTTTTTTTCCATGATTCTGGCTAGAGTTTGGTTAGAGAGAAGAACCATGCAGATAGTTAATAAAAATACCACTGCCTAGTTACAATCATATTCTCCAAACTGTTTTTCCACCTTTATGTCTTGTACTATTACCTTCACATGCTACGTCTGGTTCTCTGCTCTCCTTTGATTAACAGAAACAACAAACCAGACCTTCCTTCCGTCTTTAATTTGTCCACCCTCCATTCCTGCTGCCAAGATTGTGCAGGCACTGAAACTTTAGCAAAGAAGTATAATTTGCTGGAAAGAACATAAAGATTGTGGTTTTGAACTGTTTAAATCAGGGACCTTTTAAATCCCAAATAAATATTTGAGAGGTTCACTGAGAGATTCTAGTTTGCAGAGATCCTTAGGTCAGTATTGTCAGTGCTTCCTTGCAGAAGAGATTTCAAGGAGGTAGTTGAGCTAATGCTGAGCTAACTGTGAAGGACAAAACTCCCTTCTCAATTTTTGGCATACTGAATATTCTTAGCTTTCTTCCATCCATTTGTGTTTTTCTGTCTCCAGACTGTATCTGGACAGGGAGCCAGAATGTTAGTCCTGACACTTGTCTCTGTACGATTACAAGTTCTCTCTGTGTTCACAGATTTGAAATAAAAGGAAAGAGAAAAGGAGACAATTGGTTTGCTATTGCAGTCAGCAGGACCGGTATTTGGCCCACATATCATTGAGACCAGCAGCACAGACTCATGGTAATGCTTTGAAATATGTTCTTGTCTGTCATTGCCTAGTTATTCATAGCTCTGTAAAAGAAGGCCACATAAATCACACACAGTTGTGATTTCACTGTCAAGTATAAAATCAGTGCTTATACATTTATGCTGCCATCTGCAAGCAAGAAACTAAATCCCAATCCAGGTATAAGACTTTAAAGTTCTCATTTGAGACAGAGTAAAAACTTTGAAGATTCTCACTTCAAGGATTTTTGTGCAATAAACTGAAGCTATTTGTATGCATTTGGATTTCTGTAGTAATACCAGAAAAATCCTTAATAGTTTTCCAGTTTTAATTCATTTCTTCTATTTACTTCTTTTCCCCTCCCCACTCTTTTGGAAGAATTCTATAGCAAAAGAGTGATAGAAAATATCTTTCTATCCCTTAAGACAGCATTGGTGATCAGCATCAAGAAAAGGGAAACTTCCAGATTCTAGTGAATAATCTTACAATATCAGAATGTTTTCTAAGACTGATCATTCTTATTTATGCTCCTGATGCCAATGCTTCAAATCAGTCCACACAGATGGGTGAAGTCTGTAACATTGAGCTTTGGAAATCCAAAATTATCAAACCAAATTTGATCACAATTATCACTGGCACCATGAAAAAATTAGGTTTGATCTGTCACTCTTTCAGACGTTGCAGGTCCAGCAGCTTCCAGTCTGCTCTTTGATGAATCGATGCTGGAATTTTATGCTACCAACATCCTGGTGATTCCTGGTCACCTTTAATGGTGATCACAACATCCAGGTGCTCTTTTCATCTTTGAAACTTGATGTTGCTTAATGCTTCATCACATCAGTAGAAACACAACTGGGTCTTTGAATAGCATTTTAAATGACCCTTAAAAAATTTGAACTCCATCATTCACCCACTTCAAGCATCACCCAGAAGCTTAAATGTGACTTTTTTTCATTTTGCCGCTATCATGAAAATCAGCCACCAATTCATAAAGCAGCAAGAAGAGAAGAAAACACAGAGGACACCTTCCCCTCTTCTTTATGTTGCCTGTGAAATGATGAAAAGAGAGTATTAGATGTATGCCCATCAGCTTAATCACCATTAACACAATCAAAATCATATATTTGGTGTGCTCTGAAAACAGACAACAGTGGCTGGAAGATGCTTGATGTTTCAAGTTTGGGAGACAGTATCCAGACTTCCTGCTGCTGCTAATCCTCAGTGCTAACGAGGTGGTTTCCTCACATCCTCAGATACTATACTAACATGGTAACCAGTGCTACAGGCACGTGCTGCAAACATAAGAGAACAGCAGTGGAGGGAGATGCAAGGGGTTGTTTATGCAGAGGTGTGTGAAACACATCTTTTGCTCGGTGTGAAAGCTCACCAGTGTCCAAGAATTACTGTCTTGCACAGAGCAGAGCTCTCTACCGCTGACTGCCATGCTCTGTGTTTACAGGAAAACTGAGGTCGTTTGGGAGCTGACCTACATGTACAGAGATTTTCTCACACATTCTCCTTGAATGACAGACACAGGAGGTTAGAGAAAGCTTTGATTTTGTAAGGTTTCCTGGCAGTGTTCATATCCCTAATATCTTCTTTCCCAAGTAGGTATGCTTCTTCAACAAGACAAAGAGCTAGTTGTACCATAGGCACTATAGGATCACTACAATTTTTCACTGCTGCCACATAAAGCTAGTCTGTGAGGCCGGTACGGTACGTAAGGCCTCCGCAACCTTTAGCCTGATCAGTGCCGTATATATACACATAGCCCAGTCTGTATCCAGTGATTAGTGCACTGAGAGCAAGAATCATGCAAAAGCTTGGCACACTGCGTGGTTTAGAGCCATTGGCAAGTGCAGCCATTGCTGGGAAGACTCAAACCACAGCTCAAGCAGCTGGCGATCAATCTGCAACATGTTTTTTGCCATCTGAAAGCAAGCTGGAGGACATCTGCTGTCTGGCTTGACTCTGGCTTCTCATTATTCCCTGGGATCATTTCACTGATGCATCCTAA